CCCCCATCTCCTATCTACTAACCTCATCCCGCCCCCTTGACCTGTCCGTCCTCCCTAACTCCCCACCTACACTCACCTTTGCTGGCTCCATCCCCGCCTCTTCGACCTGTTTGTATCCTCTCCTCTATCCCTCTTCTATCCACCTCCCACTCTCTCCCTATTTATTTCAGAATCCCCTTCCCCTCCCCCTTTTCTGATGAAGGGTCTAGGCCTGAAACGTCAGCCTTCCTGCTCCTATGATGCTGCTTGGCCTGCTGTGTTCATCCAGCCCTGCACCTTGTTGTCTCGGATTCTCCAGCATCTGCAGTTCTACTATCTCTAATGTGTTTGGTTATTTGCCTTGATATTTCCTTGTTTAGTTGCCAAATTATCATTTTTAATGCTTGGGATTTTTACCTTTTACATTACACAGTTTAATGTAATGAAGCTATTTTGGTGAGGGAGGAAAGAAAGGAATAAAAGATGGCCTGAAATTAGCTATTGATTTTTCTAGATCAAAAAGTGTTAAATTTAAATCTTCAAACTAACCTATGCTTCATCTGACGAAGGGGTAGCACTTTTTGAAAGCTTGTGATTTCAAATAAAGCTGTTGGACTATAACCTGGTGTCCTGTGACTTGTGACCTTGCCGTTATCCTATGGTGTTCCTTGTACTGCCTTACCCATACCACCATTCTGGATCATCTACACTGGTTTCTGGCATCAATATGCCATTCAAAATGCTAATTCTTTGTACATTATTTCATAACCTTAACCTTTGCTCAATTCCATCCAGCCCTACATTTTCCTCCTTGGAGCGCTGTTTCTGAGCAAGTTTTCCTCTGCACCCCATATTAACCTTGCAAAAGCCTGTGATCCACACTTTGGGATTCTTTGCCTAAATTACTTGCCTTTCCTTGCCTGTCTCTTTTTTTCTTGGATTCCTTAAAACTTACCTGTTGGTTGTGACTACACTTTGATTGCGAGAGTGCTTTTAAGGCATCTTGAAGTTTCAAAAGCTGAACACAGGAGCTTTTAACATTGCTCTTGGAGCTCTATTCATTTCTTTATTATGCCTTGAGGGCTCTTGGACATTTTTTTTCACACATTAAAGATACTCTATATAAATACAAATTGTTCTATAGTCCTTTATAATTCTCTCTTTTGCAGGTAAAGTCTGAGATCGAAGAAAAGGCAAACAAAACATTTGATGTGTTTGTTGTAAAATCTTACAAAACTCAAATTGTATCTGGGACCAATTATTTCATGAAAGTAAGTTTACTTTTGCTTTCAAATGTTTTAAACCTGTCTTATTAGCAATACTTTTAACACACACACTCCTGTTGAGTGTGGCTAGATACTTTTGTAGCACCCCCCTGCCAACCAACTTGAATGATGATATCATTTCTACCACAGGCTGGTTTCCATACTCGGCAAACTTGTTATTAACTGGCACCTATGAGATCAGGAATGTACTAGTTGATCGAGAGGTCCACATGACCAATGTAAAAACCCACAAAAGTAATAAGTGTAATGCAGGGTTTACACCATTTGTTTATTTACAGCATAAATCACAAATATTAATACAACCTTTGCCTTAAAACTTACCAGCAGAGACCCTTCCCGCCTGCACCCTCAACACAAACATCAGAGATTGCAAAAATACAGTAAACTTCTGGTATGGGAAATATAATGTTCGCTGGTTTATCGAGTGTCAGTACGTACGGTGCTGGTTAAAACAAAGTTTGCTGTACTTGTAGACTTTAGTTTGGTTTAACATACAGTAACTTTCCACTTGAGGAAGTGGAGGGGTGGAGGCATTTTTAAAATAGCTTTTATTGCTCAGTAGTTCCACCTCCAACGACTTCAAATTCATATTTGGGAAACGGGCTACAAAACTCCATTTACAGATTTGGTGGCTTATGAAACAAGGTTGGGGTAGTGGGGGGAAGCATGAGTGACTAGAATATTTGTTGTATGACTGAATAGCAGCTGGAATGCTGCTAAGGCTTTTGATTCCCAGATCAGGTTACTTTGTGACAAAAAAAAGGATTTAAAAATGTTCTGAGATTTAATACATAAATGAATTATAGTTTTAAAAGGCACATTTGGTCTGAGCTAGCCTAACTTTTCTCTTTTCATATCAATTAGATCCATGTTGGTGGTGATGACTACATCCATGTAAGAGTATATGAAGATCTTCCTTGCATGAATAGTAAAAGAGAAGTATCTGCCATAAAGACCAACAAATTACACACTGATGAATTAGCCTATTTTTAAAACAAATCTTGATTTTGGTGCGCTAGGCTGGAGCAAAAGCAGTTTCTCAGCTGGTGTATTCGCTTGCTCACTTTCAGTGCCTCTATCTTGATGGTGGGGAAAATACACTCCACTCTATTTTTAAAATGCTAATTAAAATGCTTCTTCTCCCCACCCTCCTAACTTCAGTACCAATTGAGATGTTTAACAAGTAATCTGATTTCTTTCTATTCTTTACCATAGTTTTAAGGAATGGAAAATTAGTTACAAAAGTTGTTACAAGTATGTTTGGAAAATCAAATTAATGAATTAATCCATAAAAAGGCACACAAATCCAAGCAGCCAGAAATGTTCATTGGTTAGCTGGTTTTGCTCCATCCTGGGTTTAACTATGGAGATCCTACACTTTAGAAAAAGTGTAATGTCATTTTTTTTTACCATTCAATACTGATGGAAAATGATTAAGTAATCTATAAACATAATGAAAACAGAATTTTGTTATAAACCTTGTTTAGTGGAGGTTGAAATAGGAAACAAATTCAAATATGCTTGTATTAAGTAATTCTGCATTGTAATAGTAATATAAATAAATATTACTCAACATTACACTGGAAAGCAAATGTTGTAAGTTATAATGTCTCCTTTTTTCTGAAGCTAAGGGACACGTGTACTTTCAGCTTGTTGACTTTTTATGTTAAAAGTAACATTTTTACAAGGGACATAAAGGGAATCGAAAGGATTGGATCAGTTATACTCCTGGCACAGCTGCTGTTCCATATCTTGATTTTAATAATTATCTTATTCTCCTTTAAAATGACAGTTTTGTACTTTGGATGTTAGCACAAGCATTTAAAGTCTAAATGAAAAACGCTGGGGAGTTAATTTTAAAATCCAAATGCTGGTGAGAGAAGGAAGTACACCACAATCTCAACTTTCACATGCCCTAGGATGGCATAATAATTATGCATTAGTGGTAATTTTTCTACTGATTCGGAATGTAGAACAGCTATTGCAGTTATTTGAGCATACTGTCTGGGCAACACATCAGTGCCACACAGAGTGCAGCATAGTTTTGGATGAAACCACATCAGCCCTTCTGGTTGTACGTAATGGATCTCACGGAACTATTGAAGGGATCAGGGAGTTGCCCTCGATACGGGGTACAATGTTCATCTGACAGAAGCTTCACATTAAAAGAACAAATTTAGATATGTAGTGACATGGTCACCTTTAACTTAGAACAGAAGCTTATAATATGAATTGTCCTATTACCTTTCACCTACGAATGGGGCATATTAAGTGGGTTGGGTATACTGCTGATCAAGCGACTGTTTGTATTTTAAGAGTGCAATTATCCATTTTAAGGTATTTTATTTCCGACCTCATCTTTTTTGATTGCTGCTTACATAAGAAATGAAACTGGCCAGATTATTTAAGGTTTGAACAGAGGTAGTCCTCTGATTGCTTTGATATTGCATTGTAAATCACTTGTCTGGAGAATCCTATTGTAAACTGTAGTCAGTTGAACACATTCAATTCAACATTAAATGTAAACTCACTTCCACTTATCCTAAACCTAGAAATAGGTCAAATTTATCCAGTAGAACAACCAAAGTTCATGTACACAGCCTCAGTCTTTAGGAGAAAGAAAATATGTTGGTTCATTGAGAGGGTGGAAGTGCATCTCCGCAATAAGTTCCACCAAAGCGTGAAATTACTGAAATTTATCAATGAGGAAACATTGCAAATTATGGTCTTTCCACACAAACTCAAACTGTGTTGTTCCATAACTACTGTACAGTATCATACTGGCTGTTACTTTTTTACTAAGTATTACAGTCCCTTGAGTGTGTGACCATAAAGCCATATGGACTGGGCTTAAATGTTACAATTTTACCTGTGCAGTATTTTTCTGAACTTCTTGGGAAAATTATAAAGTTACAGAAAATCATGAGAAACTCAGCAGATCATATTCTATTTGAAATGTTAGCTTTGTTTTGTGTTCCACAGATGCTACCAGACCTGAATTTCTCCAACACTATTTGTTTCAGATTTCCAGCATCCACAGTACTTTGTTTTTAATTGCAGAATTATCCCAGAGAAACATCCAATAACTTTTTTGCTTTCTGAAATTGTAAATGCACAGTCCAACAAAGCTTATTCTGAATGTCTAGAAACTCTGAATCAAAACTAAATGAAAATTTCCACAACCACAGTTTTGGATTAAGGAATGGTTGCTACTGAAAAGCATATAAGGCTTTTCTACGTGGTGAATAATCATATGTCCACATCCATAACAGGACCTTTATAGTGCAATTGCTGTTTAGATTTTCTCAGCAGCTGACATGACAAATTTCAAAGCAATTTTACCAAAAATTCAGACTGATAGCAACGTTCTTTGGGTGTGATAAGAGAGATGGTTCTTTGGAAAAGATATATCTAACACATCATGTATAGTTGGTGTTACATCCACGCACACACAAGACTAAAAGCACCAGTGGATTTTTATTACTAATGGGACATACCCTCCAGAAATAAAACATTGTTCCAATGTGATTTCTTCAGAAGTTAAAACTCCAGATTGCACATAACCGAACATGTCCAATATTTAAATACACATGAATAGACAGGAACAGAACTACATTTTCTCTAGATTTAAAAACTGTTGATTCTTGAGTTCTATTTTTAAAAAAATGGAACCTTGACACAAGTTCCAGTAGAATCACTGTTTCAATGGATACAGTAATACAGATAATGTTCCTTCAGCCAACATAGAGGCAATTCATGATTTTTGTAAGTATTACTGCAGTCAGGTAGGGCACATTTTATTAGAAAATGCTTCTAAATGGCTTTGGCATACAACACCCTCCCCCATCTTGTTTACCTTTAATGGAGAATACTTGAATATAACAACTCCACCACCCAAAACAAGGCTAAGCAGACCATTATTGCCAATGTGACACTAGAAATTAAGGTAACTGGCAGGAATGACTGAAAAATACCTTTAGACTTTGAACCGATCACTGCTTTTGGTAAAAAAGAGCAACCAATTTGATCAGTGCCCAGGCTCAGGAGGAACTCTTGCCTAGGCATTTAGGCATCAGGGAAAGGAAATAAAAAAGGTTCTGGTGCCCCATTCCCAATCAAACATACCTCCCAACAAGCTTTAAAGCATACTAAATTGCTGACAGATTTGGCCCCTCTTGTTTCTGCCCTACTGCATGGAATAAGTAACTTGAGGACTCTTTAAATTGAACACACAAGACAATAACCTGCACATACCAATTGAGTGTTTTGAACTGTAGATGAGGCAGTCAGAGTGAAACATTTGCAAAGATTCTAATTTGACATTACTTAATTGTAAATGGCATTTGAACAACTAAGTTATAGCAAATGTTAAATTGCTAGCCTGAATGTCATAGATTCAAATTCCAAACTCTAATGTCTGAATTAGGACTTAAATTCTCAGGCTTCTATAAACTGTGCAGCTTAATCATTGGTATTTGTACCGTGCACCTACCCGATTACCAGATATAAACCCGACCAGTCAGGTTTTGGCAGATGAGTATTTTCCTTTCACTTCAACTCATTGAGACAGTCTGAGCGACGTTGTAGCAATTCCAATTGTGATTAAATAGGAGTCCAATTCTGAAGGGCAGTAGTTTTTTTAAGGAAGTGCAACCTACAATTGAATAAACGTCAAAACAAACAGCAAGTCTGGTATCTTTTATTGCAAATTAAGTTGGATTGGGCAATTTGAGGGAGATAAAACTTTTTTAAAAAATTGTCTTGACATCAAAGTTGTCTAATGATCCTACATGGGACAAAGGGAAAAGCATTCTAGTAAATGAGGCTATGAAAACCTTCAGATACTTTGCTTTGCAACAACTGACATGATCTGTTCCATTTTGCAGTTTTAAAACAAAAGCTTAAACCATGCACAAAACTGTCACAAGATATTCAAGATGGACAAGCATGTTTTTGTAAAGTTCACAGAAAGCTTACATCATACTAAGTTTGTTAGAACCATTTTTATGGGCTATTTTAAGTGATTGCCGGAACTGCCAGTTTCCCCACAATTATAGGTCCATCAAATCCAAAACGTTTTGTTTATTACACCTATAAACGGTCCCTGAAGTGGTCCACTGCACTTTACTCTCAACAACTATCATCTGATTCATACTTCTCAAGCCACAGGTAGGCAGGATTTGGCTTGTTGTCACAGTGCTTTAGTGTCACAGGCTGGTTGAAGGCTTGTAATGATTTCTGCAGCGTTCCTTGAACACCTTAAAAGAATAAAAGGTTTTTTATTCAAGAGCTTGAAGAGATTACTCCAGATTTCAACTCTCTCTTGTTTTCTTCTTTCACTATCCAACTTTTCTTTCACAAATTAGGAGAGTTCAGAACGTGTCGTGAATTTCTTCTCATGTCTCAGTTAGGAAGTGCACAGCTCAACATGAAATAAAGTTTCACAAATTGCTAAGGTTTAAGTTCAATTGTTAGCCCACTTTGAGGTAGTTAATAAATTAGGTAAGCTGATAATAGTGCTGGTACAAATTGGCAGTGGTATTGAGTTTACTGGTGTGGAAGGAGGTTTGATCGGAGGAGAGTGTGTATATTGAGCAAGAACAGAACTGAACCGAGCCGCATCATGTTCCATCGTCAAATAGGACTCTCTAATTCAGATCCAAGAAAGAAGGGTCACAGAACAGGAAATTGGGTGCAGTAGAGTAGGTCCAGAGTTCCAGCATGTGTTGGCAGATTCAGGGTAAGTCGCGTGGGAGTGGTGTTGTAAATGACTGGAATGTAAATGGAGGAGCTGAATGCTGGAAGTGAGGTGAAATAAGCTACCTTCATCTTCAGGGCAGCATTCAGCCATACACAGTACCCCATCGCTGCAAAATGGAAGACTCTCTATTGACTGCACTCGTACTTGATACAATGTTATGCTTGTCAGAAAGCATCAGTGCAGCTGCAGGACATTGTTGAAAGAGTTCGACATGATCAGTCTTGTCACTATTCAGCATACTTGCCAACATGGTGAAATTTCATGCATGCCCTTATAGGACACTGATGAACTTTACATTCAGAAATAAGTATTTTATTTAGATGGGATGGTCAGGTGGGGTAAATACTTTCTACAGTACATCAATGACATTATCGGTGCTGCTTCCCTCTCTTGTCTGGAATTAGAAAAACTTATTAATTTTGCTTCCAATTTCCACCCTGCTCTCACCTTACCTGGTCCATCTTGGATTCTTCCCTTCCTCTATACCTCGGAGGATAGGCTGGCCACCAATAGCCACTATAAACCCACTCACTCCCACAGTTACGTTGACTATGTCCTCACACCCTACTTTCTGTAAAGACTACATTCCATTCTCAGTTTCTCCATCTCTGTTGCACCTGTTCTGGTGATGCCTCTTCTGCAAGGGGTCCTCAGAAACGTCTACCTTTTTCCTCCACCAAGAATTCCCTACCATTGGGGTTGACAGGGTCATTAGGTGTGTCTGACCCATTTCCTGCAATGCTGCCCTCACTCCTTCTCTTCCCTCCCACAACACCAAAGGGTTCCCCGGTCCTCACCTACAATCTCACCAGTCTCCACATCCAACGGATCATAAGTTGCTATTTTTGTCACCTCCTGTGGGATGCCACCACCGGATGCATATTCCCCTTCCCTGCCTTGTCAGCTTCTGCAGGAACTATGCACTCCAGGACATCCTGGCTCACTACCCGACATCCCCCCATAGCACCTCCTCATGCAATTGCAGAAGGTGTAATATCTGCCTGTTTACCTCCTGACCATCCAAGTCCCAAGACACCTTCCAGGTGAAGCAGCAAATTACCTGCACTTCATTCAATCTAGTCTACTGTATTTGCTGCCCACAATGTGGTGTCCTCTATGTGAGAGTTTAAACACAGACTGGGTGACCACATTGCAGAACACTCACGTTCTGTTCATTTAAAAAAAGACCGAGGTTCTTGTTGCCTGCCACTTCAACACAGCAGTGTTCCCAGACCAACATTTATGTCTCAGGCTTGCTACAGTGCTCCAGCGAGACTCTGTGCAAGCTGGAAGAACAGCATTTCATTTTCCACTTGGGGACCCCGCAGCCTTCAGAATTCAATATCGAGTTCAATAATTTGAAGGTCTCAACACCACCTTCCACGTTCTTTACCCATTCCTACACCCTGTCACGACATGGACTGTTTTCAGTGCAGCCAACCCATTTTCACTTACTAATGGTCCTTATTATAGCTTTTCTTTCTCTCTGGCTTACCATTATTCATTCCTTTGCTTGCTTAACTCTCTCCCCTTCTGGGCTCCATCTACATCTAACGCTTACTCCTTTATCCTCTTCTCCCTCTCTATCTTCAGCATATAAGCAACCTTTTCCAGTTACTGTCAGTTCTGAAAAAGGGTCACTGGACCTGAAATATTAACTCTGCTTTCTCTCTGTACAGAGGCTGCCAGACCTGCTGAATTTCTTCAGCAATTTCTGTTTTGTTTCAGATTGCCATTATCCTCAGTTTTTTGTTTTATTATGATTGGGTAGGGTGTCTCTGATTACAATTCCCTTGGAAAGGCCCTCTTCAAAAAGATTTAAGAACCACTGATCTAGATGATAAATAAACTAATTCAAAACAGCTTATATAATCATTTGGATGATGAATTAGTCTTCATACAATTTTACTGTTTTCCAATATAGAAATACTATTAACAGAAAAATGCAAGAACGGTCCTTACCTTCCAACTTCTGTCATTGACAACCTCCTCAACATTTAATTCAGACTGCATCAATTTCAACTGAAACATAGACACATAGACAGAATGCAAATATAGAATAAGTTACAACAGACAGAGTGATTTATATTATCATAGTATCTTACAGTGCAGGAAGCCATTTGATCCAGCAAGTCTGCACTGACCCTTTGAAGAGCATCACACCCAGACCCCACCCTTTACCCCATAACCTCACATTTACCACAGCTAACCTACCTAACCAGCACATCCCTGGACACTATGGGGCAATTTAGCATGGCCAATCCAACTAACCCGCACATCTTTGACTGTGGGAGGAAACTGGAGCACATGGATGAAACACATGCAAACATGGGGAAAATGTGAAAACTCCACAGTAATCCAAGGCTGGAATTGAACCTGGGTTCCTGGCGTTGTGAGACAACAGTACTAACCACCATGCCGATAAGGTATGAATTCATCAAAGAGATAGGCACAAGAATTGGACTGAATCCATCTACTGTGAAATGGACATCATTTCCATAGAAACAAGTACACTGATTGCAGACATTTCAATTCATTTTATATCACCACGCAGAAACTCCAATATTCTCTATCCCTCTTCATTACGTCTACACTACAAAAGTACTTTGTTTAGGATAATTTTAATTGACCAAGCTGCAAAACGATTTCTGTATATGATGTGCATTATAGAAATCTGAGGCTTTTTGCATTGTCTCTTTCCTCTTCCTTTTCTCTCTGGTTCACATTATTAACAGTTGAGCTGTATTTCGAATGCAGAACTTGGACCCACGTATTACTAATCACAGGTAACAGAGCATGCTGAGTTTTTATTAACAAGTCAGGAGAAATACAAATGAACAAGGGTTCGTGATGGTCTTCTCACATCAACAATTCTAACTGAGACAAAGTTGTTCAAATGTGAGATTTTTCTTTACTATCAGAGTGTCCTCTACAAAGCTGAACAAGAGGAAGGATTTATTTGAGCTTATGACAGAACCAGGATAATGTTGAAGCTACAATCAGCAGCTTGGGTTGAGATGACTGGGGAAAATCAGCCAGTAACATTTGCTGGAAATTGTGCACAATGCATTTGTGAGAACTTAGGTAAGGATAGAATTAAGGTCAGATGAGAAATTCACCACAACCAGACAGCCTGTGAACCAAGACAGTTAAGACAAAAACAAGATAAATGAGCACTTAGAAAAACTACTACAGGTCACTCAGAATTGGTAGAATATTATGCCAGCATAGGTCATCACCTTCAGAATGGGAGAAAATTGAAGAGGAAAAAAATACTTGTATGCATTCATGATTGAAATCTTGCCAATTTCTGCAAAGATTTGAATAAACTGTGCATGGGAATTGGTCTGAGAAAGGGTTGATTATTTTGATAACGTTTTGTAAAACATTAAACTCCTAATATAATATTAATTTGATGACAAATAAGTGACAATAACATCTACAGTTCACTTAAAAATGGAATTAAAGGAATGTATATGTTTATTATTTTCAATTTAGCTTTGAAATTGTGAAAGGTAAGGAGAACTCCTATAGTTACAACATTCTCATTTTATTATGTGATCTCTGAATTCACAAGTGTAAGTTCAGGAGATTGAGATTAACAAAAATGCGTGCAATGTGTTGAAATACAATACCATTCAAATAACATTGGCTAAAACGAAGAAAGGCACATAGTGCGATACTTTCAACAGTATGTCCAGGTACTATAAAGCCTCCAGGATGAGGCCTCGAACCTCAACACTTGTTCACGGCAAGGTACCATTTTAGTAAAGGAAGTGAAGCCTCTGTGACAAATGGATGATTGATGGCAGTTAATTATCAGTTAAAATATAAACTTGTGTTCATTAAAGGAGAAAGCACAAAGCATTTTAGAAACTATTACGTGTCTTAAAGCCCTTTCTTGTTTGGGAGTAGGGTTGAGGTGAATTTCAAATATTACTAGAAAGGGATACTTGTCATTTAATGTTCACTTTCTACTGGAGCTGTGAAGAGGACCTCAAACATGTTGAGAATGTTTTGTCAAGCTTTTACCAGCACTCTTTCACTGTTTATTCTGCAAATATGCCTTGTGTTATTCTACCATATTGGATACCTTATAAGAGTCTACAGGAGAAAGGAAATGCTTAGTCAAGGGAATCTTACAAAGGAGCCCCTTAGTCTGTATGAGGAATTGGAGGAGGACACAAGGCTAGATAGAGCAGCATTTGGGACCCTCTACAACAGGAAGCCTAGAACAGGTACAAACTCTCTCCTTTTCTAGAACTACTGCACCAATTCAGAGACCGGTGTTCCCTCTTAGTCAGTGCTTGGGCCATTCTGCAACACGTTGCGTGCCAGCCAGTGCACTGGACATCAGTTCAGGTTGACAAAACTGGTTCCAGTGATGAGGGCTTTCAATTCAAATTGATATCTTATTACCATAGACAAAAACACTTAATTTGTTGAAGCTGCAACTAACAAGAACGCTGGATTTATTACTGAGAAGTACTACCGCAAGTGGAATTCAATGTTGGAATTAGAATTCAGTCACAGAACATTTTCAGAACAGTGATAACACACAGTGTGGAGTTGGAGGAAGACAGCAGGCCAGGCAGCATCAGAGCAGCAGGAAAGTTGATGTTTTGGGTCGGGATGTCAACTTTCCTGCTCTGTGCCTCCAGCTCCACACTTATCTCTGACTCCAGCATCTGCAGTTCTTGCTATCCCGGAGCAATTTTCAGAACAGTGATGTGACAAAGCCTTGCACTTATGATCCTGCCCTTTGAATTACTGATCTGAGCCTTAAAGAGACATGAGCTGGTGGTCAGCAATTTCTATAGAACAATGAAAGGAAAAATTAGGATAAGTAGTCACTTACCCATTTCCATGTATCCATTAGGGACTGCTTTCAACGTTTAAATAAAGTGAGTTTTGTTTCACAGAAAAAAAAACTTAGTTCTATTTATTTAGAAGGGAAATATCTGTAAATTTCTTTAGCAAAAAAAGGGCTTGAGCCAAATTGTTTTTTAAAAGTTTCATTATTACAGTAAATAAATGTGTTCAGAACTACAAATATTATTATTTATTGTTCTCAATAGGTCAAATTGGTCAATTAAGTATTTGTTTTATTTGAAAACTTCAGCAGCAGAGCACACATTATCTCTGATGTGTTACCAGGCAACTGAGTAATGTTATAATATACCTAAAACAAATAAACATTATTTTAATGCTAATGGTCAGCAGCACCTCTGCAACAAAAAAAAGCTTCAACTGTGCAAGTCTAGTTTAAGTTTCTTGCATCATTTATTAAAAACATTTAAGTTTGGCACATCCACATCAAAAGTATATTTTAAAACAAAAAGTTTCAAAGGAAGGAAACTATGTGAGTGGTTGATAGACTCTGTGCATGTCTTACATTTGTTTGTTCTTTCCGAAGTCGTTTTAGTAGCGTTAAATTGTCCATGTCTTTATTTCTCTCTTCTCGTAGTTTGTTCACGCTACTGGAGCTTTGATTTATGCAGGTCTTTATGGCTTTTTCCCTACTAGCGTGTGCCTGTTTTAGCTAAAAGAGAAAAAAAAAAGGAAGATAGATACACAAAATTTACCAACCTTGCAGTATAGAATTCTTTCACTTGGTTTGCCTTGATGCAGTAGACATATCATGGTCCATTTTCTGGATTACACAAGTAAATTTTACTACCCAGAAGTAAATTTAGAGAAACAAGTGGACGAGTATTATGAAGAAAAATACAATAAGCAGTGTAACGATATTTAAAACTGGAAATATATTTGGAAATAGAGCACACATTTTAGACCATTCTTTATATCTCTATGCAACTTAAAAAAAATCTGTTGTGATTAGGTGAATCTTTAATAATTGGAATAATGTCAGTCAGGGTGTAGAATAAGCGCCCCAAAATCATCTATATCGTTAGAAAGGCTAACAGCATTCTATGATTTATTATAAAGGAAATTGAAAACAAAATTAGGGAGGTTATGTTTCAGTTTTATGGGAGAGACCTAAGCTGATTTGACTTATTTATCGCCACATGTATTTTGTTACAAAATACAGTTAAAAGTGTTGTATAGTGTCACCACTCTCCGGCGCCATCTTAAAACATAGAGAAATAAACCAAATCATAGAAGGGCAGCAGAATATATAAATAAAGAAAAAGTGTTCAACTTTACAGCCCTTCTTGTTAAGTGCTCTGACATGGGCCATGGGCCATGGGCCCCCTGGCCAGGCACAAGTCCCTTCGCCGCACCACTGCTACTGGAATAAAAGTCGCCACTCCTCAGTGTTATCTCACCTCCACCAACACCCTTGCCACTAAGAGTCCTTGTCAATGCAGCCACCACTTAAGCCACCAACGTGAGTCCATTTCGGGCCCACCTCGCTGATGCAGCAGGGTCTCATACTGGGCCCAAAGTCGCCTCCGCCACAGCCACCATGAGTCAACGTTAGGACCACCTCAATGACGTAGATGCCACCAGGAACCCAAACGCTGACACCGCCGCCACAAGTGTGGCCTGGGCTGATTCGCCGACCGCCAATGCCATCACCGAGACCGAGCTTTTCAAAAAGAGGTAAGTAAAATAAAAGAGAAAAAAGAAAAGAAACGAAAAGAGAAGTGGACAGAGCGGACAAGCCCCGGGCTCAGAAGCCTACCTCCATTACCAGCTTGCTGGAAAAGTCCTCAGGTCTCAACATCTTAAACTGGTTAACAGCCAAACATGCTGATCCTGTCCAAACACATTACATCCCACTGATCCAGATTGAATTCCATTAGCCACTGATCAGCCCATCTGACAAGCCTACATCCTCCTGTATGTAGAGGATTGTGTCCCTTAAGGATGTAAATGCTTCAGAAGTTGAAAGAAAATTTAGCAAACTAATTTGGAGGGGCTGTCTTATAAGGGAAAGATTAGGCATGCTAGGCTTGTATCCACTTGAGTTTAGAAGGCTAAGAGGCAGCTTGATTGAAAAATTGAAGATCTTGAGGGGTCATGACAGGGTTAGCTATGCAGACAATATTTCTTGTTCTGGGAGAATCTAGAACCAAAAGGTCACTGTTTAAAATAAAGGGTTGCCATTTAAAACAGAAATGAGGCAAAATTGTTTCTCACAGAGAATGACAAGTCTTTAGAATTTTCTTCCTGAAAAGACAATGGAAACAGACTGAATATTTTAAAGCCAGAGATGGATTTTCAATCAACATGTTCAGATATATTATGACACATCTCTGGAGCAGGTGGGACTTGAATCCAGTCCAACTAGCTCAAAGGTATGGGCATTACCCCTGTGCCAAAAGAACCCCCCCCCCCCCGCCAGAGCTACAGAGAGTTCTTGGTAAGCAAGAGGATGAAAGGTTATTCAGGGTACATGGTATTGTGGATTTGAGGTTACAATCAGTTCAGCCATAACCTTATTAAATGGCAGAGCAGCTTCATGGGGCAGAACGTCTTACTCCTGCTTCTTGTTCATACATGCACAGGCTTGCATACTGCTACTCTGTCACCAGACAAACCCTCCTTGTTCATTCTGAAGTTTCTAATTAAATTTTTCAAAGGCAGAGACAGCCAATCAATAACTGACTAATACTGTCATTAATTGAGGCATTCAGTCTGTAACGGAGTGCTGGTGAAATAGAATCATCTGTTGTGAAATGAAGTGGTGTATTTTGATTGTAACCTTGGGGAATGTAAATGGACAACCAAGAATGGATTGGATCATGACATCAATCTTGTATTAAGTTTATTGCAAGACTGAATCAAGGTACTGCCTGAGTATAGATCAGGCAGACCGAGCTTCTTCCTGGTATCCCAACAAAATTCATGACAGCAGACAAGTATACTCTCTTCCAATGGATCACATGTCCCGTTCCAAAGCAGAAATTGCAATGCCTCTGAGAATTGTGCCTATGGGAAGCTATGTAGTTGTTGTACCAGGAAGTGATTATATACTACACAAGCTTATTTTACCTAAGATTATTAGGTCAAACTGACTTTAATTTGAAACAGGACACTGCAAGCCAGCCTTGCTGTGTTCTTCCAGGCTCCTATTTGTCTACCTTGGATTCCAGCATCTGCAGTTTTTGTGTCTCTAGGCTTTAATTTGAGCAGGACTTAAACAAAGGTTTTGAGGATGCAAGGACTTCTCTCTTTCGGCTTTAATTAAACACCACTGAAAAGAAGCTGGCTACAACTGTAACAAGGTCAACCAATTAAATATAGCACCTAAGGTCCATGCCTTACAGTGGAACTATGTGGAATTTTTCAGCTTACAATGCAAAATCCCCAATTCTATTTTGTTTAGGTCCAGTTCACTCACATAAAACATGCACTAGTCAGAAAAATATTTATCAATACCCACTAAAGAAATTGAAGATACGAATTAATGTGACCAAAGGTATGTAGGAACATAGGAGCAGGAGGTCCATTCAGCCCCTTTAGCCTGTTCCGCCATTCAATGTAATCACGGCTGATCTGTGGCCTAACTCCCTATACCTGCTTTTGGCCATATCGCTTATTACCTTCGCTTAACAAAAGCTTACCTACCCCAGGTCTTAAATTAACAACTGATCCAGTATCCACTGCAGTTTGTGGAAGAGAGTTCCAAAACAGCCAGCACCCTTTGTGTGGAAATGTTTCCCAACATCTCTCCTGAACAATTCTATAATTCTAATTCTCAGACTACGCCTCTAGTTCCAGAATCCTAAACTAATGGAAATAATTTCTCTCTTTAACTACCCTGTCTTTTCTTGTAGACTTTGATCAGATCACTGCCTAACCTCCTAAATACTGGAGAAAAAAAAACCTAATTTGTATAATCTCTCCTCATAACTTGAACATTGAAACTCAGGTATCATTGTTGTAAATGTATGTTGTACTTTCTCCAATGCCAATATATCCTTCCTAAAATGTGGTGCTAAGATCTGCAAACAGCACTCCAAGTTGTTTCTAACCAGGGATTTGCATAACTGCTGCATAACTTCTGCATCTTTGTATCCCAATCGTCAAGATATAAAGGCCAGCATTCCATTGGCTTTCTTGATTACATTCTGCATCTGCTCATAAGATTTTAAAAATCTATGCACCTGAACACCCAAGTCTCATACTTGAATGAACTGGTCACCTTTTTAACCATCAAAATTTAACTAGCCCAGCACGCAATGAGTTGCACATTATAAATCAGACTTCAACTTTGTTTTTAAGCTTCTTATTCAACTGGTCACATAGTAAGAAAAGACTCCACAAAAAAAAAAATTTGGAAAAAACGAATAAGACATTACTTACTGAATCATAAAGTTGCTTGCATGTTTGACTTGCATCAATCTTCCCAGCAAAGGATGCTGTAGGGATAATAGTATTTAATTCGTGGACTATCCTATCATCAATTTGTCGCATCACCCGCAATGCATCCTATTGATAGGAATAAAAAAGGAGGTTTTGCATTAATAATACTGATAAAATTAACTAATGCAGTTGGATGAAGTCCAGGCATTATCTACAGCCAAATAAACAGACTTATTATCATCTGTGCTAAAGTCTATACAAAGACTATGCCTTTTTTAAATAAACCACTGGCGAGGCCTCAGCCAGAGTACCGAGTACAATTATGACATCCATGAAAACACCAAGGTCTTGTTCATCGAATCCCTACAACATGGAAGCAGGCCATTCAACGCATCAAGTCCACATTGATTCTAAGAGCAGCCCCTAACCTATCCCCAAAACTTTGCATTTACCGTGGCTGATCTACCAAGCCTGCATATCCCCGGACAGAATGGGCAATTAACGTGGCCAATCCACACAAGCTTGCACATCATTGGTCTGTGGGAGGAAACCGGAGCACTCAGAGGAAACCCATGCAACCACGGAGAGACTGTGCAAACACCCGACAGTCATCCAAGGGTGGAATCAAACCTGGGTCCCTGTTGTTGTGAGGCAGCAGTGCTAACCATTGTACCACAGTGACGCCCCATGGTGTAGAGTTTTTTTTTTAAAACTTATCTGTGGGATGAGGTGTTGCTAGCTGGACAGCATTTACTTCCTGTTCCTAGTTATCTTTAACAAGATTGTGATGAGGTGCCTTCTTGAATTACTGCAGTCCACTTGCTGTGGGTTGGCTCATAATGGTGCTTGAGGAAATTCCAGGATTTTGACCCAATAACAGTGAAGGAACGGTGATATATTTCCAAGTCAGGAAGAGGAGTGGCTTGGAGGGGAACTTGCAGATGATGGTGTCCCCAAGGCTGCCCTTGTCTTTCTCGATGGATATACAGGAATATCAGGGATCAGGGGCTTTGATTATATTGCCAGACCAGAGAGGTGGGGACTGATGTCCTAGGAGTACAGAAAATGGAGTAACTTAATAGAATCACTTAAAATGATCTTGTTGTGAAAAAAAATTAAATTGTTTCCACTGACAGTAAGGTCAGAAAACAGCGGATACAAATTTAAGATAACTGTCAAAGAGGGCGGGGTGGGGAGGGCAAAAATGTGGTGGGAAAGAGTCAGAGTTTCTTTCATGAAACAAGTAGTTATAATTTGAAATACATGGCTTTCAAAAAGGAATTGGATATGCGCTTCAGAAAGGAAATATCTACATGGTTATGGTGAAAGAGTAGAACTTTTAAGAACCAGAACTGTCCAAATGACCAAATACAGCTTTTCTATGTTGAACATATTTATTCATTTTTCTGAAGTGGTGCTGGTAAGGTTAGAATTTATTGCCAAGAGAATATGGTGATGAGCTGCCATCTTGAACAACTGGAGTCCTCGTGGTGTAATACCATTAAGATATCCATCCACTATTTTAACCCAGCAACAATGAAGGAACGACAAATTGCTTTTAGGTTCAGATGTACTACAATTTGGAGGGAAACTTGTAGGTGGCAGTGTTCCCATGCACTTGCCATCTTTTCCTTCTAGCTGGTGGGGTTCACAAGTTTGTGAGTTGCTGCAGTACATCTTTTGAATGGTACATAGGACAGTCTTGTTGCATGATGCACTGGTTGGGGAGGCAGTGAACTTTTAAACAATGGGATGCTGACCAAGCACATTGCTTTGCCCTGGAGGGGATGTGCAGGCCCAAGTATTGCCAGCTTTGCATTCATCCAGTGAATCAGAGATCATTAGATTAAACTCCTAACTTGTTCTTTGTAGTCGTTGTAAAAGCTTTGAGGAATTAAGAAAATGAGTCACTTCCCACAGAATACCCAAAATGTGACCCGCCCTTATTAGAACAGTATTTACGCCACTTAGTTCAAGCTTGAACATTAGCCATGTTTTGTTATATACATGCATTTCAAATGGCAATGAGCACCGGGCAGTGAACATTCCCACTTCAGACCTATGATGGATGAAGCAACTGAACATGGGCGGCTCTAGGACATGATCCTGACTAATTCCTCCAACAATGTCCTAGGGCTTAGATGATTGGTCTTCAAAGATCCTAAACATCTTCCTTGATGCTGATTCTCCCCCCACCGCCATCCACTGATTCCCACTTACTTAAATTTTACTGAAACTCTGTGATGCTGTACTCAGTCAAATGCTGCCTTGATGCCAAGGGTAACCTTTCTCTTATTTTGTCTCTGAAATTCAGCTCTGTGTCCATGTTAGGACTAAGGCTGTAATGAGTTCTAGTACTGAGTAACGCTGCCAAAACTCAAACTGAGCACCAGCAAGCAGGTTATTCTTCTGTAGACACTTCCTGATATCATTATCGACAATTCCTTTATCACTTGTCTGATGATTGAGAGTAGACTGATGGGTAGTAATTGGCAAAATTGGACTTATCCTGCTTTTTGTGGACACGCGTATTTGGGCAATTTTCTACACTGTTGCACAGATGCCAGGCTTCGAGCTGTTCTGAAAAAAAAAACTTGTTTAAGAGCATGGCTAGCTCTGGAACACAAATATTCAATACTACTGCTGGAATGGTGTCAGGACTATAGACTTTGCTATGTCCAGTGTCTTCAGGCATTTCATAATATCACGTGGAATGAATCAAATTAAAGGCAGAGTTGTAGGAACAGGCTAAGATGGATCAGTCACTCTGTAATTCTAACTGAAAGTGATTGAAAATGCTTGCATCTTCATATTTTCACAGATGCACTAGGCTTCAACCATATTGAGGATGGGGATGTCAGTGGAACTTTCTCCTAAGGTTAATTGTTTAAATGCACACTGTCTTTCACAACTGGATGTGGTAAGACTGCAGAGAATTGATCTAATCCATTGGTTGTGGTATTGCTCAGATGTTGATAGCATGCTGCCTCCATTATCCCATCTAACAGTGGTTGCATCACACTGTAGAATGCATCCTCAGTGTTAAGAGGGAATTCAGTTGTCACACACTTGTGACAATCATTCTTGTCATGAGGTTACCATGAAGATCCCACTATTCCACCCTTGCCCCCAGGTGAGGTGTAGTAACCCTAAGGTTAAATATTTCTCTCTTATGGTTCTCTGAGACTTTGGCAACTTTACCTTTAGATATGCCTTAAACAGGTAGATTGGTGATGATGAGAAAGAAGGTTTTTCCCTCTTGCTGGTTCCTTCATCATCTGCCACAGATGTCCTTTAAGAGTTGGCCAGTATATCAGCAATATTGCTACTTGGACACTTGTACTAATGCTAAAGTCCTCCACTGAGAACACATTTTGTGCCCCTTCCATTCCCAGTGTTATTTTTCATGTGATGTTCAACATGTGGGGGGAGGAGAAGAGGCGGTGGTGGAGATAATCAGGCTTCCTTGCCTTCCTTGCCCTTTTTGCTATGACATTTCATGGGATCTAGAATCAATGTTGAGGCTTTCCAGAGCCATTCCCTCCAGAGTGAACACAATTATGCCATCAATATGATGGTTCTGTCCTGCCACTGGGACAGGAAATACAGGTAGTTCTATAATACGGTAGTTGCATTCTTGTGTGATCTCACGCTATTGAAAGTCACCATAGAAAATCATGTTATAGGGAAATCATGGTAGAAAATCACTACACTTGTACAGCAGGAAGCTTATGTTATTCAAACTGCATCCACTAGTCATCAATTACATTACAGCCAATTCACGTTAACGAAACACATGTTATAGCAGAACTACCTGTATGCCAAGATGGTATACCAAACATCAACATGTAATATCTTCTGATATGCACTGATACTGGCTGCATATTTAAAAAGTTAAGGGACAAACCAACTCCCAAGAATTTTGAAGGCAGGAGGTATCAGATGATCTCTTAATGGGAACTTTCACACTGCTTGAGATTTGAATGAGGTCTTCTGAACATCTGCTGGACACACTAGAAAAATATCCAAGCCACTGCCTTCTCTGTGGTAGCATTAAAACATAAATACACAAAAAAGTCATAGAGATGTACAGTACAGAAACTGGCCTTTCGGTCCAACTCGTCCAAGCCGACCAGATATCGTAAATAAATCTAGTTCCGTTTGCCATTATTTGGCTCCTATCCGTCTTAATTCTCCCTTTGCATATAACCATCCAGATGTCTTTTAAATGTTGTAATTGTACCAGCCTCCACCACTTCCTCTGGCAGCTCATTCCATACATGCACCACCCTCTGCATGAAAGAGTTGCCCCTTGGGTCCCATTTATATTTTCCCCCTCTCAACTTAAACTTTTAGACTTTTCCCCAGGTTGCGGGAGACCTTGTCTGTTTACCCTATCCATGCCCCTCATGATTTTATAAACCTCCATAAGGTCAGCCTCCAACATTCCAGGAAAAATAGCCCCAGTCTATTCAATCTCTGTCTATAGCCCTAACCCTCCAACACTGGTAAAATCCTTGTAAATCTTTTCTGAACCCTTTCAAGTTTCAGAACATCCTTCCTATCACTGGGAGACCAGAATTGCACGCAATACTCCAAAAGTGGCCTAACCAACGTCCTGTACATCCGCAACCTGACCTCCCAACTGCTGAATTCAACGCACTGACCAATAAGAGCAAGCATACCAAGCATCTTCATCATTATACTATCCAACTGCGACTCCACTTTCAAGGAACTATGAGCCTGCACTCCAAGGTCTTTGTTCAGCAACACTCTCCAGAACCTTACCATTAAGTGTACAAGTCCTGCCCTGATTTGCCTTTCCAAAATGCAGCACCTCACATTTATCTAAATTAAACTCCATCTACCACTCCTTGGCCCATCTAACACAGAAACAAGATCCTGTTGTACTCGAGGTAACCTTCTTCACTGTCCACTACACCTCCAATTTTGGTGTCATTGGCAAGCTTACTAACCATATTGTCTATGTTTGCATCCAAATCATTTATATAAAGTGACAAAAAGCAGTGGATCCAGCACCGATTCTTGTAGCACACCCATGGTCACAGGCCACCAGTCTGAAAAGCAACCCTCCAAATGGCTAGTTCTCCCTGTATTCCATGTGATCTAATCTTGCTAACCAGTCTACCATGAGGAATCTTGTTGAATGCCTTACCAAAGTCCATATAGATCATGTCCACTGCTCTGACCTTGTCAATCCACATTGTTACTTCTTCAAAAAACTCAATTAAGTTAGAGAGACAGAATTTTCAACACACAAAGCAATGTTGACTATTCTTAATCAGTCCTTGCCTTTCCAAATAAATGTAAATCTTGTCGCTCAGGATTCTCTCCACCAATGTGCCTACCACCAATTTCAGGCTCACTGGTCTATAGCTCCCTGGCTTTTCCATACCACCTTTCTTAAATAGTGGCATGACATTAACCAACCTCTAGTCTTCTGGCACCTCACCTATGGCTATCGATGATACAAATTTCTCAGCAAGGGGTCCAGCAACCCTTCCCCTAGCTTCCCACAGAGTTCCGGGTTATTTATGCATTTTAAGCCTTCCAGCACCACCACCTCTGTATTATGGACGTTTTTCAAGATGTTGCTATTTATTTCCCCACATTCTATATCTTCCATATCCTTCTCCACAGTACACACTGATGCAAAATACTCATTTGTATCTTGCCCATCTCCTGCAGTTCCACACATAGGCAGCCTTGTTGCTCTTTAATAAGGGGTGTAGTATGCAATGCAAAGGAAAATGCATCACACCTGGGGCCATAGCACTAACTCACAGGAATCTTGAGTCCTTTGTTTCATTAAAATTTTAACTGCAAAGTAACGAGCATTCCATTTGCTTTTCCAAGACAAGGGTAATCTCTTGAGGCTTTACAATACAATGACTAAACTTTAAAAGTGCTCAATCTTCTGTAATGCGCTTTGAGATGCCTGGTGGTTGTACAAAATGCGAAGAGACTTTCTGTTACCAGACTATTGATTAGGATATCTATTAGGAAGCAGCAAGTGGTTTTGCTGCAAATTCCTAAGCAGCTAACCTGCAGTACACGTGATCTAGTAAACCGTACTAAACGTTATTTTTTCTTTAAAATGAAATTCTAATGGAATCAATAAGGTTTTCTCCTTCTTTTAGTGCTCTAATGGGTAAGCATACTTCATAGGAAGCACAGACCACGAAGGTAACAAATCTGATATGGTGTAAATGAAGTAAGTGCTACTGAAAAAAAGGACACATTTTGTCGAAACTTGCATTTGTACTCATCAGGGCATTTCACAAAAATGCCAATTCAGGGTGAAAATCAACGGACACCATGGGCCAAAGAGCCCCTTTCCATACTGTGAAGACTCTGACTATAACAAGTGTTGCATTTATGAAACAGTGAAATGTGAGCGTTATGCAGAGTCCATTGAACCGAATCGGGGGTGGGGGGGGACAAAGTCCAAAAGCACCCGGGGCAGCGGCCGGGACCACGCTTAATCGGTGGCGGCCCTTGAAAGCAGCCGCTGCCGAATGCCCTCCCTCTGTCCTCGACTCAGACCCCGACCTTTCCGCTTCCCTCCCCCCCCACTCCCGGGGTATCTACAGCCCATGCGGCTGAGGTAGGGGGCTCCTGAAGGACGAACCTCGGAGTGAGCACACCAGCCGCCTCCGGGCGGGCCGCTGAGCAGTGCCCCTCAGCCCGGCCTGTTCATCATTCCGATTGCCGGTACCGCTTCCCTCCCCCGGCCCGTACCTGGAACTCGGAGAAATCCTGACAATTCAGCTCCTCACTGGGCGCCGCCATCTTGTCGCTCGCCTCCGAGGACCCGGGTCTGAGGGCTGCCCTCGGCACCGCCTGACGGGACAGGACAGGACAGGACAGGACAGTGGCCGGGGGTGGGCACCCACAGACAGGTGTTACCGCGAGCGAGGGGGGTGGCTTTTTGTAAACCGACTGCAAAACAAATATTTAACAAGTGTGGTAAAAGGACATAATGTACCGTCGACGAAGCTCCCAGCCAAGTGCCAGTAACGGGTTTAAAATCTGATCTGTTTTCCGTCTTTAATAAAAACGCGATTACTATTCGTCTCCCTCCTTCATAAATCCGCCCCCGTTAAGACCGGCCCACGCCTCCCGCTTCTAAAACACCGACTCTAATCGCCTCGATTCGAGAATGGGAGGCTGGGCTCCGGTGACCTCCGGACTTGGGAGTTAAAGTCAGCCGTAGGCAGGAGGTCGGGCCTCGGGAATGTGGAGTTACGTGGGGGCGGTGGCCGGACGCCTGACCCTGGCGTTCAGGACGGACCGGCAGAGGCTTCAGCGGTTTTGCGGCAAACCCGAGGGCGACAAATCCCCGCAGGGAGAAGGCTCGGTGACGCCGGCCAGAGCCCAGGCTGAAGGTAAGCCGCGGGCTTGGTCCCCAACAGCAGAGGGGCCGGGGAGAGTGATTGCCCTTGACATTGAGGCATCCCTCGACCTGGCGTGGCATTCACACAGCCCTAGTGTGGCCCGAGTCAAGGAATAACGGAGTCGTGGGTGTCGGGTCTGGTGGTCAGCCTTCTCCACACCAGGATATCTCTTCAAGTGTACCCTCAGAATAATGTCCTAGGCCCACCCAAACTCCGCTGCTTCAT